AACCACTAATCTGCTTTCTATCGCTACAGATTAATTTGTATTTCTAGAACTTTTATAAGTAGAGTCATAATAGGTACTCTTACGTCTTTTTCTCAGCATGATTATTTTGTGATTCATCCATGTTGTATGTATTGCTATTTTGTTCCTTTTCACCCCTGAATAATTCTGTTGTATGGATATACCACACTTTGCTTACGCATTCCCCTGCTGATAGAGTTGTTTCTGGTTTTGGCTATAAGAAATAAAGCTGCTATGAATATTCATGTACAAGTGTTTGCATGGACATGTTTTCATGTCTTTTGGGCAAATACATATGAGTGAAATGACTGGGTCCTATAGTAGGTGTTTAACTTTTAAAGAAATTGTCAAAATTATGTACCATTTTAGATTATAACTCGTATTGTAGCAAATGCCAAGATTAAAAGAATCTGAATTTTAGAGATCATCAGAGATGAGAATGGTGGCCTAAACGTATAACAGGATAAAGTATAAAGTCTTGCATTTCGAAAAGTAAATCAATTACATTAAGAAGTCAGCCAATATGGGGAGAGAGATGCTACTGCTGGGATTTTAACAATTACAAAGGTCAGAAATCAGAAACATGTCTGCTCCAAGACACAAAGTACTAAGGCTGGATGCCCCAGATCATTTCCCTCAAGTCCAGAGTCCTACTGTAATGTGCCCCAGTAACTTCTCCTTCAGAACAGTATTTTCTCAACTAAAAAAATACAGTATTGTTTTTCTTCACTAAGTCATATCCAACTCTTTGTGACCCCATGAACTGTAGCACTCCAGGCTTCCCTGCCCTTCATTGTCTCCTGGAGTTTGCTAAAGCTCATATGCAATATCAGAAGCTTACTAAATGTTTTCATACTGAAATTGCCATTCCAATGAGCAAAAAGCTAGTACTTTAGCCTTGTAAGCAGTCTTAACTTGAGAAGTTAAGATTTAATATGGTATATAAAATGATACGGGGTTGAAGATTGAAAATATTATCGTAAATGTCTTACCTGCCTTTATTTTATTCATAGATACCACTTTGAGTGAGCAAAGACCGAACATTTTACAAATACATTTTGTAGAAGGCTTATAAGAACTAGTGCCATAATTTGAATCATAATGGATTTCACATTATGAGGTAGGTTGAAAATAAAGGACATCTCAATTGTTAGCATTATTTATACTGAAGCATTATTTATACGTATTTATCCTGAATTATTTATATATTTTATACTAATACTTTGACTTGAAAGCAAGTGAAAGTGTAAGACTTTTAGTTCAGACTAAATATAGTAAAATTCCTGAGTAAACTAAAACTCGGCAAGTGCTGTTTTCAAATTCAGAGGTGTAAATTTTGGATCACTTTCTCTAAAATAAACAATATTACTTATTTTTCACGTGTAAAATACACACTGGGCTTCCCTCTTGACTCAGACAGTAAAGAATCCACCTGCAATGTGGGAGACCTGGGTTCGATCCCTGTATTGGGAAGATCCCTTGGAGGAGGGTATGGCAACCCACTGCAGTATTCTTGCCTGGAGAATCCCCATGGAGAGAGGAGCCTGGCAGGCTCCAGTCCCTGGGGTCGCACAGTCAGACACAATTGAATGATTAAGCACAGCACAAAACACACACTCAAAAAGTTGGCTTTGCTTTCAGATTTACAGGAAGCAAAATAAGAAATTGAAGATGCATTTTGTGAGTTTTCAGATGATCTATGTTGATGTAATTCTAAACTTTGAATTATTTAATCATTATAATAAGATTGTGCTTGCAATATTGTAGAGCAATTAACCTTCAATAACTTCAAACCTCAAAATAAAGCAAGTTTAATTTTTTTTAGAAAAAAAAGATTGCTTGGTTTCAGGTGAAGGGAAGTGGAACATTGGGCAAAAATAGATTTTTTAAATCTCTGCTGTCATGGTTTTTAGCTCCTCGGTTGTTGCACAGTCTCGCTATTTGGAGAAAGTTCATGCTAAAAAACGGAAGCAATTAATGAGTGAATATGATCAGATTTCTCCACCAAGGTCTCAATCTGATAAGGGTAAGGTTCAGTTCATGTCTTCATTGATCTCTGCACCATCTGTGATCTTTTGGTGTTGGCTTTTTTCACTCTGCATGTCTTCAGGTTTCATCCGTGTTACACCATTTTATAGTACCTCATTCCTTTATATTGCTGAATAATATTCCATTGTGTGAATTGCCACATTGTGTTTATCCATTCATCAGCTAATGAACATTGATTGTTTCTAATTTTAGCTGTCAGTAATAGTGCTGCTGTGAACATCTTTGTACAAGTTTTTCTGTTGACAATAGATTTTCATTTCTCTTGGGTGTATATATAGGAGTGAAATTGCTAGGGTTATGTGGTGACTCTGTGTTTGACATTTTGAAGAACTACCAAACTGTTTTCGAAAGTTGCTGTACCATTTTACATTCCCACCAAGAATGAATGAAGTTTCTGGTTTTTCCTCCTCTTTGCCAACACATTATTTATTATCTATCTTTTTTATTATAGCCATCCTGTGAGTATGAAGTAAAATCTTTTTTTTTTAATCTTTTTATTATAAAACATTTTTAAACATAAAAATAGAGAAAACAGTATTATGACATCTTCTGTACTTATCATCCAGTTTTGACAATTATGAACATCTTTTTAATCTTATTAGTGACTTTTTAAAAGTAGCTTTATTGAAGTATAGTTGAGATATGTACAGGAAACTGTACATATTCCAGGTATATAATTTGATAGGTTTGAAACATATGTATTGATGAAATGATCACCATAGTTAAGATAGTAAACATATCATGCCCCCAGAAATGCCCGTTATAATGATGTGCTGAGTTGCTCAGTCATGTCCAACTCTGTGCAACCCCATGGACTGTAGCCAGCCGGGCTCCTCTGTCCATGGGGATTCTCCAGCAAGAATATTGGAGTGGGTTGCCATGCCCTCCTCCAGAGGATCTTCCCAACCTGGGGATCAAACCCAGGTCTCCCACATTACAGGTGGATTCCTCACTGTCTGAGCCACCAGGGAAGCCCAAGAATACTGGCATGGGCTGCCGTTCCCTTCTCTTAGATCCTCCTGACCCAGGAATGGAACCAGGGTCTCCAGCATTGAAGGCGGATCCTTTACCAGCTGAGCTTCCTCCTACTTTTTCCTGACTACTTTTTCCCAGGAACCACTGTATTGCTATAGGTTGGTTTTCCTTTTTCAAGAGCTTTATGTACATGGAATCATGTATTATGTACTCTTTTCTCAGGCTTCTTTGAGTCAGCTTGATTATTTTGAGATTCATCCATTTCGTCAAGTGTATCAGTAGTCTGATCCTTTTTATCATTGATTCCATTATATGGATATACCACTGTTTGATTTATGCATTTATCTGTTGATCAATATTTGGGTTTTTTTTCTCTTTCTGGGGCTATTACACATAAAACTGCTGTGAATATTCATGTATAAGTCTTTATGTGTACATATACTTCCTTCTCTTTAGGATAAATATCTAGGAGTGGAATAACTGGATCATATGGTAGGTGGATGTCTAACTTCCTTAGAAACTACCAGGCTATTTTCAAGTAGTTGTATCATTTTATATCCTACCAACAATATTTGAGAATTCCAATTGTTCTACATCCTCACCAATCTCTGTAATTTCAGTCATTCTGGTGAGTACATGGTGATATCACTTTGTGGTTTTATTGACATCTACTTGATGAATGATATTGAGCATCTTTCATGTGCTTATTGTCCATTTGTATATATATTCTTTTCTGAAGTGTCTGGTCAAAAATTTTTTGCCCATGTTTAATCATTATGTTACCTTTTGCTCTAGTCAGAATTTTTCTACTATTTAAGTTGAATAGGAGCTAAATTTTCTGGCTCACCAAATTAGGCTTCATTTAAACTTCCTTTTTAATCTCAAATTGGCAGTAAAACTAGCTGATCATTGGTGACTCTAGATTGCTGTCAGACTTGTTTCTGTTAAAGGAAGGAACTACCTGGGTTATACTGCCTCATAATTTTTGGAAATAAAGCATATCACCAAAAATATCTAAGGCATTATCTTCTCATACTAAGTACATTTTCTGCTATATTTGTAATGCAGGACTTGAGGTGGGGGACAGAAAGAGAAATAGTAGTTGTACTGCCCCATTCCCAAAAAAAACAAGCAAAGATTAGCATATCTGCTTGAAATTTCTTCTGAAACTTTTCTCTACATAAATCCCTACCCACTCTGAGCTTTCACTTCCATTTCCCTCTTAACTCTCCCACAAGCTCTTTAATAGAGAACAAATCAGAAGACATTCTAGAATGTCTTTTCCACCAATCAGAAATAATGGAATAAAATCCAATTCCCTATGCAGAAGACACAGAACTCTGTTCCCTCATCTTTTCTCATGCCCTATACCTAAGAGTAGTTTTGTCTCAAAGCTGGATTTCTAATTTCCAGCATTCCCAAACCATTTTACAATTTTATTTTTAAGTCTTACAATACTGTTGTCTGGTGAGTATGTATGTTTATTTTGAGTGAACAGAAGATTTTAAAAATTACCTCTCTATGGTTTGTTACTTTTCTTAGACAACAGTGTTTAAGAATCTGAACTTTAGAAATGATTTGAACACTCAGATCAGGCCACTCACCATGGATGTGTAAGTCCTTCTATCCATACATCCCTACAAGCCTTACATTTTTGGCCCTACAAAAGAATTATACATGTCAGCTCCTTGCCTCCTTCATCTCACTTCTGAGAAGGATAAAATTACTTGTGAGTGGCGTAAGCAACATTTGACTTCCTTATGCTCCTTTTTGGCATATAATATTATGATATTTAACTTTTACATCAAAGTAGATTTTAATTTTGGGATAGGGGAAGGGGCTTCTTTATTTTGTCTTTTGAGACTCTTCAAGAGTAAAGGAAATATTCAGAATTAAATAATCTAGTAAGAAGAATTTTCTCCCATTTTTCTACCTACAGAGAATCCCTTGTCAAGCTAATGAAGCATTCAAAGAAGACTTATGACTCTTTTCAAGATGAACTTGAAGATTATATCAAAGTGCAGAAAGCCAGAGGCTTAGAGCCAAAGACTTGTTTCAGGAAGATGAGAGAGGATTATTTGGAAACCTATGGGTACAAAGAAGAGGTCGACTCTAGACCCAGGTGTAGAATGTTTGAGCAAAGACTCCCATATGGAACCGTCCAAACCTACCCAAGATCATGCAGTATTTCACAAAGAGTGGAAAAGCAGTTACCTCAGTGGCTACCAGCTCATGACAGCAGGCTGAGACTAGACTCCCTGAGCTGCTTTCAGGTCACCAGGGACTGTTTCTCAGGAAAGCCTGTACCCCCGAACCTGAGTCAGCACGAGTCTAACTGTAGCGCATACAGTGTAGAATCTGGAGTTTACAGGTACCTCTCCTCAGAAAATAGTACCAGTGCCCATCAGGCTAGTTATAAACACATACACCAGAAGAGGAAAAGGCACACAGAGGAAGGCAGAGAAAAGCCAGAGGAGGAGCGGCCCAAGCATAAGAGGAAAAAATCTTATGAGGAAATAGATTTAGACAAATATAAGAGCATCCAAACAAGCAAAACGGAGGCAGAAACAGTCAGAGTCAGTACAGAAAAGCTTAAGAACCGGAAGGAGAAAAAAAGCCGAGATGTAGCCTCTAAGAAAGAGGAACGTAAGCGCAGAAAAGAGAAAAAGGAACAAGGCCAAGAAAGGACAGAGGAGGAAATGCTTTGGGACCAGTCTATCCTTGGATTTTGAAGCTCTTGAGTTGGTTCCCCCAGGGTTATCCTAAATAGTTGAGAAGCTTGGTTTTACAGTGTTCATGTTCAAATCCCTCTTCTCACATGAGCAGGTACAAAGGCTAAGAGAACAGGAAACAGAGTACGCTTGCTATCCAACATGGAACTATTTTTCCTCATTTTCTAAAATCATTACTACATTTTTCTTATACATAATGTAATTTCCCTTAACGAGAGTGGCTCTGTTTTATTCATCTGGTTGCTGTGATGGTGGAAGTATTTTTCCCTTGGGAGGTCATTTATATTTAAGTAGGATTAATAGGCTTAACAGAATCTATTTCTTGATTGGGTTTTAGTTTGGGGTGGGTATTTTTATATTCATTAGTTTTCTCTGTGAAGCAATTTAGATATTTTCTTCTGTTAGATCTAACTTGCAGTATATTTTCTAGATTGAAAAGTGGAAAATGACATACATTATAATAAGCTTAAGTTACATACAGTTTTAAAAAAGAGTCTTGATACAAAATCAGTTTATATTCTGGAAATGTTTATAATATAATAAAGTTCTAATTTCTACATTTTTTTTTGTTTGTTTCGTGTCAATTATCTGTTCCTATTCAATGAATATTTTCTTCTGGAAGAGCAATAGCCAAGTAAATTTAAACGCACTTTTTGGATAGAAATCTATGAATGACCACAGTTTTTCCAAATAGTTGAAAGTGGGGAATTTATAAGAAATAAAATGCCATTAGATTATTCTTTCCTGACCAGTATTTTCCATTCTGATAGTCCCATTTTTTATGATAAACATATCAAGTATTCAAGCACTGCTCTTTTGTTGTAGAGAGTAGTGACCTGGAAATCTGAATCCCAAAATTCTAGTCTCAGCTATGCCTTCAAGTTGTTACATGACTTTGGGGAAGTCTCTCAACTTTATTTTCCTCATTACTAAATATAACTAGAAGCACTGGCCTCTAAAATGCCTTGAATAACAAGAAGATGCCATGATATGAAAACTCTTTGCATTCTACAATGTTGTGTGTATATATTATTAAATTTAACATTATTTTGCTAATGTGATTTTTTTATTTTATATTTTATTATATATTCCCTTGGGGCTTTCTGATGGCTCAGACAGTAAAGAATCTGCCTGCAGTACAGGAGACCCAGGTTAAATCCCTCCATTGGGAAGACCCCCTGGAGAAAGGAATGGCAATTCCCTCCAGTATTCTTGCCTAGAGAATTCCATGGACAGAGGAGCGCAGCAGGCTACAATCCATGAGGTCACAAAGAGACACAACTGAGCGACTAAGCACGCGCACACACACACACACACACACACATTCCCTTCACCTGCTCAACCTTCTGCATGCAACCAGTCTCCCCACCCTTGCTAGGCCGCTACCTTACTCAGCCCTGAACCCTCTCTGGGTCCTCACCTTGCCTAGCCTCCTACCTCAGTGGGCCTTAAATAGCGAAGAAGAAAGGAAGGAAGTGGAGGAGGGAGAGGGCATAGGTGACGCATTTTATTTTAAACTAATGACCGCAACCTCCAGCCCATCAGGTTTCCCTAGTAAATATCCCACCCTCAGAGATGTCTTTTATATTCTCCGCGCTCTCCTCAAACTTTCTCCTCCCTGGTGCCTCCCATACAGGCCCCCTTTCTCTGAGATGATGGACTGCAAGTACTTGTTTAAAAAAAAAAAAAATCAAGAGAGCTAGCTGAGCTACCCAGTCTATGATAATGTGTTTAAAGCAACCCAAACTGACAGAGACAGTGACCTCTAAATTTCTGTTTCTAAGCTAGATTTCTCCCCTGAGTTCTGGACTCGTAACCAACTGCATTTGTTGCTATTTCCAACTAGAACACCAAAAGAGCACACACTTCTCACCAGTCATTCTTCCCTCAGTCTTCCCCATCTCTGCAAATAATAACACCATCTTAATTGTTCAAGCCAAAAAAATCACTAAAATCACACTTAACTCTCTTCTACATCAGAGCCATCAGTGATTCTTCATGGTTTTACCCCCAAATTATCTCTCCTCTTGTCCAATTCTATCTTCACTGCCACCACCTTGACCCAAACTAACTCTGGTATTGTTTTGGGTTTATTTGAACCAAACAGGACTAACAGGTCTGAGAAGAGCTGAAAACTGGGAGAAGTCATCACAGGCTCTGAGTTAATGAGTGTAAAACCAGAAACAGGTGTATCAAGAGATCAAATAGTGTCATGGCCATCTAGCACTGTGGACTTCAGAAATGCCCAGCAAATATTTCCTTCCAGAAAGACAAAATCTTACCTGAAAAGAAAACTGCTAGATTGAAAAACCAAATTGGGCAGGGAAGTAGCATTGGGGGTAAGGGAAAGAAAAGGTTCCAAGAGTAGGGAGCAGGGGAAGGTGCCAGATGAAGAACTCAGAAAATTCTGCAACAGCAAAATACAACACCTGAGGTAAGAATACCACCTTGCCAGGCAAGCCCCACTGGCCTGTAAGAAACAACAGAAAAACTTCTCTGAACCAAGCTCCACTCCGAATGGCAGAGAAATAACCATATCTTGAGCCCTTCACTGTAACGAGCGGAATCCCTCAAGCCATGAAGCTGGAAAAGGTACCTAGGGCATTCCTTCTCCACAGAAATGTCCTCACAGTAGTCCAGGTCAACACATTTCATTTAAACTTTGGAAAGGAGGAGGAGACTATGATCTAGCCATACAAAGTGTTACAAGAGAAAAATGAACTAAAATACTTTAATAAGAAGACACCAAAAAAAATGCAAACACAAAGCAAATTAAAAGCTCTAATGTAACACTTCAAACAAGGCTGAAGAGATTAAGAAAACAGTCAAAACTTTAAGAAAAGTTAAAATGGACTTCCCTGGTGGTCCAGTGGCTAAGACTCCCTGCTCATGATTCAGGGGACCTGAGTTCAATCCCAGGTGAGGGAACTATCTCCCACATGCCACAATTTAGACCCTGCACAGTCAAATTAGTTTTTTAAAAAAAGAAAAAAGAGCACAAAACAAAAAAAGAACTCTGGAATGAAATGGTCAATTATGCAACTGAAAAAAGACAGTAGTCAATTCCAAGAAAAATAAAATATAATGCAGTAATGAAAAAGTAATTCTAATTTTTAGTCAAAAATATTCATTGGGCATTCATTGAGCATCAAATTAGAGCCAGACATGGTTACTAAATAATGACCTTGACAGATATAGGGGGGAAAAAAATATAGTAAAAGAAAACAAAATCAAATCATTGAAAGGAACACAAGAGAATATAGGCACCATAGAAAGAACAGGATAGGAAGGAGAATAATGAAGATATTCCAACAAAAGTAAATTTACACCTTGCGAGTAGGTGATAAAAGATGAGCAAAGAAGATCCAAATACAAAGCAGGGGACTTCCCTGGTGGTCCAGTGGTTAAGAATCTTCCTTCCAAAGCAGGAGATAAGGGCTCCATCCTTGTTTAGGCAACAAAGACCCACATGCCTCAATTGACCCCTCACAAACACCCCCAGCAATGGATGCAGGGGCACTCAGCGACTTAGCTGGCTCCTCTGGGAGTATAATATATTTCCCTCTGCAGGCAAGAAATAGGCCAAAGGAAAGGATAATCATCAAAGGCAGGGTGGATGTCCAAATCAAATCAATATACCACAGATTGCCTGGAGAACAGAGTCCCTAATAACAAGGGACTCCAAATGGTCCCCAGGCCCTGGAAAATATTGAACATCCTTGTATACCTCATGCCACAACCACCACAAAGGGAACTGCAATACTCCCGCCACTTTACTTGGAGGAAACTGAAGAAAGCTGAGGCCCTGAGAAATGGATTTGTCCAGGGTTACTCTGGAGCCCAGTCATCTCTCCTTCCAGGACTGAGGTTTGAAACACCCCACCCCCCTTTTAGGGAGCTGGGATCCAGGAGAAGCCTACTGAGTGGGGGTGGGGGCACGAGGCACATAGGTGCTGCCTTCCTGGAGGGGCCAAGGGTGAGGAATCGTGTTTACCATAGATCTTGAAGGGAAGAAGGGAGTCCCAGCCTCAGGGCATATGAGAGAATATGCAGGTGACGGTGGGCACAGGCCTCACTTGAAAAGTGAGGTTATTGTCCTGGTCTGATAGGAAAGGGGGTAATGAGTGGTTTCTAGGCAGAAAAGGAGGGCATTGAAATGGGTGATCTCAAAGGTTCCCCTCCATTTGGGAGAATGGAGCTCAGCAGCAGGCTCTGCCACAAGAGGACCTCATGTCTCATCTGGAGCGGCCTGAACCCAGCACCTGTGAGCGCCTCCCCAGGCCTGCTTGTCTTGCCCTCCCAGGTCTCCCCACCACACTTCACTCCATTTCACTTCCCGCCCAAGGTTGCTGGCGAGGTGGGAGCAGGAAGTGAGCCCGAACGGCACCCCTCAGCTGGGCACAGCCCTGCAGCATTGTTTTCATTGCGTTGCTGTCTTCCCGCCGGATGCAGGGTACTGCAGCCCACCTCCTCCTCCATCACTAATTCATGTCAGCTACATCCCAGGGAGGCACACTGCCTACTGATGAGTGATGAGGAGTCTGGTGTGCTATAGTTCATGGGGTCACAGTCAGACGCAACTGAGCAAATAACACACACACCACACTGCTTTGTATAATGTAACATTAAGTGGAGTTTTGAGGTTAAGAAATGGAAGGAAGTCCACTTGTATGCTTACTAGACTGCATTAGTGTATCCATATCCAGTCATTATGACCTTCCCTGAGTTCCAAAGGGCAGATGTGAAAAGTTGCTAATAAAGTGAGGTGCAGTCAAGAACCCACAAGAGGCAAGATTAAAGGGACCAGATAAACTCATCAAAAGTAGGAGACCACCCACCTGAGATGAGATTAAGGGAGTGCAAGCCCCGCCCACACACTGACCTTGTCAGACCCCCACCAACATAAAAACCCTCAAGCTCTCGGGTTTGAGACTCACAGGTTCTCAAGGCAGAAGCCTGGCGCATCTCCCTTTGCGTGGCGAAGTAGTAGAGCTATTCTT